ATCCGTATCGCAATTACGGACTCGTAGCAAAAAGAATGATCGAATTAAGACATCGTATGAGGATTTTATCATTTTACTAAGAATTAGGTTGCTAGATTTTTCAGATTAATTACGAAATTGCCATTGACGGCGTATTAAAAATCTGCTCAATTTGCAAATATTAAAACCTACATATCTCATTCATTATAAGGTCAAACTGAGTGATTCAAAAGCCTAACTTGACTCAAATTTTACAAGGAATCCATTGGAGGCATAAAATACGAATTGGGATCGTTTGGCATGAGAAACGAGGTAGAATAGCTGGCAGAAAAATATATAAAACTAGGGTTTGTTCATTCGGTCATATTTTGAGTTGGGGAGCTCGGATTTGGGCGATTTTGGAGGCGATTTTCATCATATGGATTAGAGTAAGTGTTCTTTACTTAATTTTGATTATATTTCATGAATTCATCTTCATTTTTGGTATTTGATTGATGATTTCAAAGTGAAATTGAGGGAGCTAGGGTTTGAGTTTTGGAGAGTTTTAAGTGAGGATTTGAGGGACCAAACGGAGTCCGATTTTGACGAAATTTATATGGTTATACTCGAGAGAGGACGAGGATTAATATTATGCCATTTTTGACTGATTGAGAGACATGGGCCAGGGGGCCAGGTTTTGGCCAGTTTCGGATTTTGGCATATTTTGTAGTTCTTATTGTGGAATTCGATTCTTTAGCACATGGTGATGGTATTAATCTGATTATGGTTAGATTCAGAGATTTTGGAGACCGAGTCCATAAACGAGGGCATCCCGGAGTAGGATTTTATGCGGTTGAGGTAAGTAATAGTTTTAACTCTGGTTTTGAGGGTATAAACCCGGAGAAATTGATATCATGTGATTGTTTGGTGGTGATACCCACGCTAGGTGACAGGCATGTGGGTTTGCACCATGAGGGATTGAGACTTGGTCCGTCCCGTGAGGCTGTGAGTCCTAATGGCTTTTATCTGTGGTTATGTGTTTACTTGTTGTTGAAATTGTTTGCCTTCATGTTAGAGATCATGCTTAGGCTTTATTAATGCTCACATTATTTGTACTATGTCATAGAAATTAGTGTACATGTTTAGCGCAGTCTCTATTATTTTCTAATCTGCTGTTATACTTGATGTGGGTTGTGTCCCCTTATTTTTTGATGATGGTGAGGCTAGTGAGGTACATGATTGAGTAAGGTCGAGGGCCTGGTTGTGAGGATATTAATACCATAGCGCGTGAGTTGTCCGCGCTGCACATGAGCTGACTGTGCGGGTCCAGGTATTGATACTATAGCGCGTGAGTTGTCCGCGTAACACGTGAGTTAACCGTGCAGATCCAGGTATTGATATGATGGCACATGAGTTGTCCATATGGTACATGATTGAGTGAGGCCGATGGCCTGGTTGTGAGGATATTAATACTATAGCACGTGAGTTGTCCTCATAGTACATGAGTTGACCGTACGGGTCCAGGTATTGATACCATAGCGCGTGAGTTGTCCGCGTAGCACGTGAGTTGACTGTATAGATCCAGGTATTGATATGGTAGCACGTGAGTTGTCTGTGCTTAGCGCTTGGGCTTTAGGAGCCCCTCCGGAGTCTGTACACACTCCCAGTGAGCGCAAAGTGTTGAGTGTATTGAGTGTTGAGTGTTGAGTGCTGAGTGCGAGTGCTGAGTGATGGAGTGACATTGTTGTGAGGTTGCATTTACTTTTGTTGTTGCTGCATTTATCTATTAATTTTCTTTGTGGCATTTACTGAGTTATGGAATTTACCTAATTATTCCTATTATTTTTAAATTGTGAAAATAATAATTGGACTACTTTACTTAGCTCATCACTATTACTCAGTTCCTTAGTTATTTCCGTTACTACTGAGTTGGTTGTACTCATACTATACCGAGCACTTTATGTGCAGATCCAGGTGAGTTAGAGCGCGGCGATCGTTGAGTCCATGCCAGCTATCTTTAGAAACTGCAAGGTAGCTGCTAGCGTCTGCAGGACCTTGTTACTCCTTTTGTCATTTCTTCTTTTGGACAGTTAGACAGTTTATATATCTTAGTTCATAGTTTTAGACGCTCATGACTTAGTGACAACCCGATTTTTGGGGTTCGTTTCCATATTTTTCTATATTATATTTAGAGTTGATTTAGTTTATAAAAAATTTAAATGTTGAAATATTTTATTAATTTCGTATAATCGGTTTAGTAGTAATATTTTGGGAAGTAGGCTTGCCTTGTAACACGATAGGCACCATCACGACCATAGTTAGATTTTGGGTCGTGACAGTTGTGGACTGTGAAGTTGTGGCTGAAGCTAGCCAGATGATAGTATGTATTATGATTCAGTCGTTGTGGACTTTCGGAGGGTTATTTATCTATTTATCGGTGACTAGAGCTGATTCGGGGGTCCATTGGTAGGCCCAATTAGGATGTGTATTCTACACTGAGTCGGATTTGTTGACTCCAAACAGCTATTATTGAGGGATGTGCCATTCAGTTGTTGTTGAACTTATTCGTGTTCTAAAATGATCTGTGAGTTACTCTTCTATGCTACGGGGGGTTGCAATTTGTGGGTTATATGCACGCATGGTGCGGTTCTATCTGGGCTTTTATAGTGGAATTTGAGCAAGATGAGTATTTAGGTATGGCATGATTGATTGAGCGCTGGCTATGTTCTTTCTGGATTGTGGTGTTGTTTTATTTGCTCTCAGTGCTTATGGTAATGCACTTTGGGTAATTGATGTCGAATTGCGTATGGTTATTGATTTTGAGCATGGTGGCTGAGGTATTTCATATGGACCAGTGTTTGGATGGGGTCATGCATTATAGAGGATTTATATTGAGGTATGATCATTTGTGTTAGATTCATATGTTTTGGTTCTGCGGTGAGTAATGGGTTCTTAGCATTGCATTGTGGTGGTACCTGTTGAGCTTGCGATATACTTCCCTCGTTTGAGTCATTTTCATGATTGAATACATTTGGAATATTGCTATTTGGTGCACAGATTGCGCAGGTTGTGGCTTTAGATTGTATTGATGTGTCATGTCACTAGAGTGGTCGTGTTGGATGAGATGAGGTCATTGAACCTAGAATGTATACTATCGAAATTTATTATAGTATAGTTGGAAGGATAACATCGAAAATCGGCTTAGAAATTTGCTATAGTTCTTGCCGAAGGAGAGGGAGCTCCATGACCGGTTGATCTGATGAAAGGTTATGATTTTCTACGTATTTCTTTCATCATCAATAGAGTACGAAGGTTTTAGACCAATGCTTTGTTTGATATGAAGTCTATTACCGGTATGGGTTATTTTTAGTAGCTACTGTGATTAGAAAGTATCGCTATGAGTATGTGAGTTATGCGATATAACATATGATGACATCTTGGGTTATGGATATGGTTTAATACAACTTGTTCAAACTTATATAGTGTGTAGATGCGAGGTTCTGATCATATAAAAATTTGGATGTTAAGGCTTATGGGCTAGGTTGAATTAAAAAATTTCAATTATGTTGTGTTGTTAGACCTACACGGGATAGAGTGATGTGGTATCACCCCCGGAATGTGCATGGTAAGGTTACAAGGCAATTTGATGGCTTTTAGAACACCTCTAGGCGCGTTCAAAGACGAACACATGTTTACATATACGGAGCTATTGGAACCATCAGAATTCTATTCCGGGGTCGTTTACATATAATTCCTCATCCGGTCAATTATGTCAACTTAAGCTTCCAAAACTAAAATTATTTTTCTAATTAAATCCCGGATTATCCGAAAATCAAACTTGACCACCCTCACAAGTCATAATACACATTTCAAAGCTGCTCGAGACCTTAAGCTACTGAACGAAACGCTAATTCTTAAAATAACAAGTCGGGTCATTACAATTTTTCACTAAAAAATTAGTTGGATAATAAATTTTTTAAAAACGGGTCAACTATGGATAAGAACCATATTATCCATTTAGAAAATGGATAACCAATGATTAGTAAGGGGTCTAACTTTTACATATGTAAAGCCGCAAATTGAGGGTTCCTCAACTTAGGGAGACTAAGAATTCTCCCAAAAAATGATCATATGCAAGAAGTCATGGATAATATGGTTACCCATATTATCCGCCGGTTAATCCATTTTTTATCCGTATTAAATATGGGTCGGATCGGATAATTTATCCGTTTTCGATCCGAACCATGTCCGACCTGATCCGCCTGTTTGCCACTCCTAGGGTGAGATATAGTCCCAACCGTTAACTAGAGAGCAAGTCTCACATGCAAGTTACATATTTGATCGGCCGGTCAAAATTAATTACATCCGCTAGCCAATATATTAAAATTTGTATTGATTGTGTATTTTTTTTAATATAATATATTAATATACAAAAAATTATATACATTGCCAGCTATTATATTTTAGAACGGCTATACTGTATAGTTTTTCCAAGTCTCATTCCGCTCCCCCTCGGTCCAAGATAACCCATTCGTCATGTCTAGTTAGGTCAAATAAAAAGAATTAAATATTACTCATTCTATTTCATTTTATATGATTGTATCTGATTAACGACACATTTTATACTCATGTACACTATCAGCAACAGTTACAGGTAGCGGCGAAGCAAGGAAATTCAATAAGGGTGTTTAAATTTTGAACACCTTTTGCCAGTGGGCTATGCAAGGGTGTTCAATGTCTATTTTTTAAACAATAACAAGTAATATTTTACCTTATACGTAGTATAGTTTTTTCGGTGAAGGGTGTTCAATTGACCACTCTTGGGCCAACATAGCTTCACCCCTGATTACGGTGCAAATTCTGAATACATATAGGAGAGTATTTGAACAATTTTTTAAAGAGTATTTCTTTAAAAATTTATAAACAAAACAAACAATCTATAGGAGAGTCATAAGGAGGGGTGGTATGTTATCTTTCTTTAAAAAATTATAAACAAAATTTACAAGCTAGTTATAAAATAAAATTAAAAAATAAGGAAATTTTTATATTTTGTCTACAGAAACAATGGATAACTCGGAAATTTCACCAAAACAACAATTTCCAGTGGTAGTTTTGTTCTTGAATTCTTCAAAACTTGTGCAACTTCTCATCAAGTTATGTCCCTTCATAATTTTTGCCCTCACATGTTCAGGTAATCCCAATGTAAACCTATCTTCACTTTCCCTAACCAATATTATCGAGTGTCCTGTGGATTGTGATCTCGAGAATTTTTCAGCATTCTCTCGTAACTCAATACGTTCAAGTGTTTCCGAAGCTAGTTTCTCAAATTTCCCACTAATATTGAGTCCTTTTTCATCGTCGTCATCTTTATTGTTGTTGTTGTTGCTATTGTTGTTGTCATCATCTTTGATTGTTATGCTGCATGTGTGTTCTAACAACTCCTCTTCGTTATAAGTGCCATGCATTGAATTACTCATAGGTTCAATGCAGTTCGACACTTTTCTGGACCTCATATGTTGTGGAAGTTTAGTGCTCTGGACTGCCCTTTGTTGCATTTCCTTCGAGTCAAGGCTCGCGCGACATACCGGGCATGTTTTGTGTAATTCAAGCCAATGGTCAATACATCCTTGATGAAATACATGGTTACATGATGTTAACAAACGAAGGAAACTATCATCTACAAATTCTACCAAACAGATGGCACATTCAATCCCATATTTTCCCTCTCCATAATCTTGTACACTCGAATAGATAAATGTTGGAAATGATTGAATAATCAATGGATCAAGCCCTTGAATATTTTTGGTTGGACAAATTGGAATTCCAGCTAGAGTAATATGCCATGAGTATAATACATTTTGTAAGAAGCATCTACAAAAGAAAATTGAGAAAAGAGCTATAAAAAGGAATACAAAAATAATGAATGCAATAATTATTGCTAATGGTGGAGAAGAATATGTTAATGGTGGTGGTGGTGAGTTTTGTATAGAACTCGTTGACATTTTTATTGAAGAGAATAAAGTGGAAAAGAAATCTTAGTTCTCCGAGATCCATAAATCATGCCTCGAATTATTTTTATTTTCTATAGACAAAGAAAAAGCGAGAATATTTTTTTAAAACCGGAAAAAATATTGTTTAGTCTTGTGAGGAACTAGAGTGAATGAGCAAATGTAGGACAGTCTATGGAAGTATTTTTTTCCCGCTCGAGAACATCCGATAAAATTAGAACAATAAAGAAAAAAATTGAAGAATTATATCTTAATATGGCATTGAAACGTGGGTGGTGTTAGTTTTTTTGTCTATGGTTAGAATCCAAGTACTAGAGCGAGTCCTTATTTGGAATGTGGGATATTCTATTTAAAGTATGTATATATTATTGGACTTTAGAGCTACAATATAATTGCATTTTCTTTATGGTTAAGTTAATCTTTTTTAACGATGGTAATCAGATTTTTATTGTGGTTGCTTGAATTCCATTCCTCGAAAGTAATTATTGATTCGAACTTGGTTTAAAAAAAGCAGTCTGGTGCACTAAACTCCCGTTATGCGCAGGTTTCGGAGAAAGGCCGGATCACAAGCATCTATTGTATGCAACCTTACTCTTCATTTCTGCAAGAGACTATTTTTGCGGCTCGAACTCGTGACATTCTGTCACATGCTACAATTTTTTAGTTACGTCAAGGCTCCTCTTCAACTTGGTTTAGATTCTCGGAATTAAATACCATGCACACTAGGATAAAATGACTTATGTACAAACGAATATCATGCACCTAAGAATTTGATGTAATATTCAGTAAATTTAAGTTTTTACACGATTTGTATTGATATTACAAATGATTTTAACTAATACGTATATACTGACCATGCAAAAAAGTTTTTTTCAATTACTGTTATATTTTAACGAATCATATTTGGTTCAAATATTAGACTTACTATAAATAGTTATGGATGATCTTATGGTTTTTACAGTCTACGTACTTGTGACGACCCAAAGGGGTCATCACCAGATTCCTTCCTTTTCCATGCTTCTTAGGCTTTGAAAGATTTGCTTTTAGTGGCCTTGATTTACGTGCGCAGTCCAGGCGCGTAGCCGGAAAGCTTTTATGTTGAAATATGCGACTTATGTGAAAATAATTAATGAATTTTGATATTAATATTGTTAAAGTTGACTTCGGTCAACATTTTGGGTAAACGGACCCGGACCCGTGATGTGACGGTCCCGGAGGGTCCGTAGGAAAATATGGGACTTGGTAGTATTCCCAGAATCGAAATCCGAGGTCCCGAGCCCGAGTAAAGAATTTTTGAAAGAAATTGTTTTTCTGAATATGATATGAAAACTTGAAATGAAAATGAGTTAGAAAATATAGGTATCGGGCCCGTATTTTGGTTCCGGCACTCGGTACAGGTCTTAAATATGCGTTAAGCGCTTTCTGTGAAGTTTTGTTGAAATCGGACGTCGTTTGGCGTGTTTCAGACCTAATTATCTAAAGTTAGAAGTTTGAGAAGTTTGAATTGGAAACGATGATTTTGAGGCTTGATTCTTTGATTATGATGTTATTTTGGCGATTTGATCGCACAAGTAAGTCCGTAAGGTGTTTTCTAGATTATATGTATGTTCGATTTGGAGGCCCGAGGGCTCGGGTGAGTGTTGAGTGGGGCCCGGGAGGTCTTAGAATTAAAAAATAGCAGGTCCAGGTGTTGCAGGCCCCAGCTCGGCCGCGGTCATTTCTGTGCGGTCCGCGTGGTGGAGTTCAGAGGGGCGGTAGTTCAGGTCGACCAGCGCGGCCGCGCACCAAATCAGTGCGGTCCGCGCTGGGTGGGTTCAGAGAGAGCCCACTTCTTCCCTCCCTCGGCGCGGCCGCGGTACATTTCTGCGCGGTCCGCGCCAGCCCCCAGCAAAAGTATATAAACTCGAGATTTTCAGTCATTTTTTCACTTTTCAAAACACAAAACCTAAGAGGCGATTTTCCAAACAACGTTTCTTCTCCAAAACGATTGGTAAGTGATTTCTAACTTAATTTCTTAATTCCTTGACATCTTTTAACATGATTTCAACTCGAATCAAGGATTTTCATAAATGGGAATTGGAGGTTTTGGTTAGAACTTAGGTTTTCTTAAATTTGGGTAGTTGGACCTCAAATTGAGGTCCGATTTCAACAATAAGCATATATTTGGATTCATGGGGGAATGGGTAACCGAGTTTTGGTTCGAACCTCAAGTTTCAACCATGTGGGTCCGGGGGCATTTTCGACCTTTTTGGGGAAAAACCTTGTAAAAACTATTTTTATGCATTGGGGTTAGTTCCAATAGTATTTATTAATGCATTCAAGTAATTTGTGACTAGATTCGAGCGTTTAGGTGGTGAATTCGAGAGGTAAAGCTATACTAGAAGTGTGAGTTGAATTTGGAGCATTCGAGGTAAGTGTTTGATCTAACTTTGGCTTGAGAGAATAGGATTAGAGTGTTTTAATTGCTAATTGCTAAATGATCGAGTACGGTGTACAGGCATGGTGACGAGTATCTATGCACCGGTGTCTAGCATGACCGTGGGTCTTTGTTTGCGCTTATTTATTATTTTGGGGACTCCTCCATGTTAATTGATGAATTCTACATGATGTGAAAAGTACGAGGATTAGTTATGAATTGTGAATTTTTGGAGCGTTGACTCGAACGATATAAATACTATTGAATAAGATGTTAAAGTAAAGGAGAGAGACGTGATGAATCCCATGCCGGGATGTGCAGGTTACTGGTGTTGCTCCATTGCCGAGAGATTTTATTGGTATTATAGATTTACTCCCTTGTCGGGAATTTGCTGAGTTGATATGTTCCCTTGCTGGGATTTCTCTACTGTCTATTCTTCCCTTGCTCTATAGTTGTGATAAATGTTTGGAAGAGAAAGCATGATCTTAATGGAGCGGGTTGCACATCGTAACAAGGATACATAATATCCGAATAGATCGGGTTGCACGCCGCAACAAGGATACATAATATCCGAACGGATCGGGTTGCACGCTGCAACAAGGATACATAATATCCGCACGGATCGGGTTGCACGCCGCATCAAGGATAGATAACATCTACTCGGATCGGGTTGCACGCCGCATCAAGGATAGATAACATCTACTCGGATCGGGTTGCACGCCGCAACAGTGATGCACTGTATGGGATAAAGGTGTTATTTCCGGACTTGAGTTTTGTTGGTGGATTTACCTGTATTTAGGCTCCTTAGTTATAACTGTATCTTCCCCCAGCATGTTCCTACCCCCTTTTTAGTTGATATTTTCTGTTGTTATTTCCGTTACTTCTGTATACATAAATATCTGCACAGGTTTATTTGGTAGCCGGGTCTAGCCTCATCATTGCCTCGCCGGGGTTAGGTCAGGCACTTACTAGCACATGGGGTCAGTTGTGATGATGCTACACTTCTGTGCTTTTTGCATAGATTACGGTACTGGAGCAGCTTTAGGACCGCAGCAGTAGCGTATTGATCGGGAGCTGACTTCAGTCCATAGACTTCAAGGTAGCCTAGCTGGCGTTCACAGGCCGAAGTCCTTCTTCATGCTTAGTTTGTCCTTCATTGTACCGACACAGACATTTGTATTTCCATTCAGACTTGTTTGTAGCACTCTTTAGCAGTCCGTGAGTTAGTGACACTAGATTTTGGGTAGAGATTGTCTTTAACTTCCGCATTTGAATTTCAATTTTATAAACTTAAAGTCTTTCGCTTTTATTTAATTTCTTTCGTATATTGTTATTGTTGAGAAGTTATCAGAGAATGTTTAAAGTTTGGCTGGCCTAGCTCCGTTAGTAGGCGCCATCACGACTCCCGATGGTGGGAAATCCGGGTCGTGACAAGTTGGTATCAGAGCTCTAGGTTACATAGGTCTCACAACTCGCGGACAAACCCGGTAGAGTCTGAGGGATCGGTACGGAGACGTCTGTATTTATCCCCCAGAGGCTATAAAGTTAGGAAAATTCTCACCTTGTTCTTTCTTGTCGTGCGATTCTGTTTCTCAATACTGATTGTCGTTCTACTCTGTTCTTTCGCAGATGGCGAGAACACGTGTTTCCTCTTCTACCGCGCAGCAGCCCGAGCCCCCAGCAGCAGCTCCTATTAGGGGCACAGGGCGAGGTCGTGCCAGAGGCCGAGGCCGGGGTAGAGCTCAGCCCCGAGTAGCAGTCCCAAAGGTGGAGCCTCATGTTGACTATGATGAGGGGGTTCCAACTCCAGCGGCTCCAGTGGGCCCAGCTCAGGTCCCAGAGGGCTTCATAGCCACCCCAGTACTCCAGGACGCTTTAGACCGATTGGTAGGCTTTATGGAGAGCATCTCTAGAGCGGGTTTTCTTCCTGTAGCACCAGCCACATCTCAGGTTGGGGGAGGAGTTCAGACTCCCGCTATGCGTACTTCGGAGCAGGTAGCTCCTCAGGCTCAGGTTCCAGCAGTTCAGCCAGCTGTGGTAGCCCAGCCAGATATTCCATCTCAGACCGGCGATGTTGCGGCGATGTCCGCGGATGATTTGTGGAGGCTTGATAGGTTCACCAAGCTCTTCACCACCACTTTCAGTGGTTCCCCTACAGAGGATCCCCATGATTTCTTATTCAGCTGCCATGAGGTTCTCTAGACTATGGGTATTGTGGAGGGGTCGATTTCATCACCTTTCGGCTAGCAGGATCAGCCAAGACTTGGTGGAGAGACTATTGTTTATCTAGGCCAGCAGGGTCGCCATTATTTACTTGGGATCAATTTGTAGAGTTGTTCTTGGAGAAGTTTCTCCCAGTGACTGAGCGAGAGGCTCTACGCAGACAGTTCAAGCGTCTTCATCAAGGTACTGTGACAGTCACACAGTACGAGACTCGTTTTATTGATTTGGCACGCCATGCTATTGTGATACTCCCCACTGAGAGAGAGAGAGTGTGTGTGGAGATTTATTGATGGGTTGATCCAGCCGATCTGTCTCCAGATGGCTATAGGAGCCGGGAGCGAGATCTCTTTTCAAG